CCTTCCTCAGGTCCTTTATGGAGGCCCTGATTGGGGATTGGGAGCACCTGAGGGAGAGGCTGCACCTGGAGGGAGACAATCAGGGGGAGAGGGAGAGAGACACAAACAAACAAAAGTCTGAATTTTGAGATTTTGAGAAAAGTCAGAATTTTTGAGATTTTGATTTCGAGGAAGAAGTCAGAATGTTGTGAAAAAGTCAAAAAAAATTGATTTTGAGGAAAAAGTCAGGATTTTGAGAAAAAAGTCAAAACATTGAGATTTTCATAAAGGTCAGAATTGTTAGATTTTGAGAAAAAAAATGCAACATTTTGAGGAAAAAGTTCCAAATTTGAGATTTAACCCTATAACCATCGGGTCAATTTGACCGACAGCTGTTTTTTTATTGCATGTAACTTTTTTTCAATAAAACATTAAAGTCCGTGACTTTTCCTCAAAGTGTGTTATGTAGCACCCTCTGTTGTTAAAAATTGTCAATATGAAGTCAGATTGAAGAAATTGCCATTTATACCTTTTTCCGCCAGCGGGTCATATTGACCCCACCCCTTTTCGCGCTATTGATTTTGCGTGTAAACATGACGTGTTGCTATAGCAACGCCTTTTGTCTACTGCGGTTCCTTATAGATTGAGAGATAGATTGAGAGAGAGAGATAGATAGATATATGTATAGATAGTTATAGATAGAGATAGAGAGAGAGAGAGAGAGAGATAGATAGATATATGTATAGATAGTTATAGATAGAGAGAGAGAGATAGAGAGAGAGATATAGATAGTTATAGATAGATCGATAGATAGTTATAGATAGAGAGAGAGAGAGAGAGAGATATAGATAGTTATAGATAGATCGATAGATAGTTATAGATAGAGAGAGAGAGAGAGAGAGATATAGATAGTTATAGATAGAGAGAGAGATAGAGAGAGAGATATAGATAGTTATAAAGATCGATAGATAGTTATAGATAGAGAGAGATAGAGAGAGATAGAGAGAGAGATATAGATAGATATATGTATAGATAGTTATAGATAGAGAGAGAGAGATAGAGAGAGAGATATAGATAGTTATAGATAGATCGATAGATAGTTATAGATAGAGACAGGGCCGTATCCAGGATTTCCTATATACCGAGGTCCAAACATGCTAGGGGGGTTCGGGGGATACCCCCCGAGATTTTTGGGATTTTCATGATCTAGTTAGGTGCTTTGTAAGTCCTGTGGGGGGTCACACATTGGATAATATATTGATTTCAAACCATGTCAGTGGGCTGACAATGTCAGCATCAATTATTTTTAAAGTGTAATGCATAAGAATCAGTTGATTGTTACTATTAATGATCTGGACACGCAGAAGAGGCTAAAATGATCACAACACATTGTCAACATTCATTTCCCATGTCTCTCTCCTTTCCATAACCTGCAGCCTCTCTTCCATCTTCTTGAGTCTCTCTGTCTTCTTCCTGTTCATTACTCTCTCTGTCCTCTACTCTTTCTCTTTGTTCAATCTCTCCCTCGTTGTTCACTTTTTGCTCCTCCTCACTTGTCGCTCCTGCCAGTGAATTAAAAGCAATTCAAACATTTAGTTTATTTCACTTGTTTGTTTGCATTCTTTTTTTATTTAAATCTGTTTTGTTTGATTCTCAAAAGAGAACAAAGATGTCAGCAAATTGTGTTTTATACAATTGTATGTGATTATGACATCATAACTGCAATAGATGTATGTTTTAAAATTATGCCTATTGTAAATGAACACTATTGTTATAGATACATAGATAGATAAATAGATGGGCTTATTAAGCCTACATTATTTTGTGTGACTCCAGTTCCTCTCTGACTTCCATCACTCTCTCTCTCTGCCTGTCCTGTCTCTTCCTTACCAAAGCTGAGCTTCGACTGACGTAGTCTTTTCATTATATCTGAGTCAGTGTAAAAAGAAAACAACACAATGTTATATCTTCAATGTTTTACTCAAATTGAAATGAAAGAAAAGCATTACAACGTTTGTTAAAAGGTAATCCTTCTGACATTGGATGAACGTAATTAACTTTAGCTCTCTAGCTAGTTTATTCACGCAATTTAAACCAAAGTATAGCCTATATCTGCAATATAAGTTAGTGTGCATGTTGTCGGACGTCCACTGACTAACGTAGAGCGTCCACACAGGATCTGCTGGTCATATGATGTCCTGATGAACAGAAACACAAGCAGCCCGCTGGACTCAGATCTCTAGATACCTCATCACTCCTTCGCTGCTCCGGTTCAAGTCCGGGCTGCGGTGGTTTGTTGATACATGTCGTCTTCTTCTGTTTGCTTTAATCGAGGCTGCGTAGTTATGCAGCGCCCCCATGGTCAGTAAATGGAAGTACTACAAATAACCCCGTTTAGTGCAATTATTTCACAAGTTTTGTTATACACAGCTCGGAAAATATTACCGAGGTCCGGACCTCGGTGACCTCAATGGTAGATACGGCCATGGATAGAGAGAGAGAGAGAGAGAGAGAGATATAGATAGATATATGTATAGATAGTTATAGATAGAGAGAGAGAGAGATAGAGAGAGAGATATAGATAGTTATAGATAGATCGATAGATAGTTATAGATAGAGAGGGAGAGAGATACTCCCCGTCACTCTCCTTTAACTCCTCCGGTGACTTTCTTTTATTTGAAGATAGTTTTTTGCCCGGCGCTTGGCCGGTTACCGCTGGTATTAAAAACATTTTGGCGAATGGTAATGTGGCGCGATAGTCTGTAGTGAAGGAGCGCGCTCCCGCTCACGGGAGACTGCTCGCGCTGCGCTCTGCAGCAAACAGCTGTTTGCTTTTCACCCAACAACGACAACCGCCTCACGAAACGCTATGTTGTAGCGTTAATAAACGAAACAATTTAACTAAATTGCTAGTCAAAATACCAATACCACAGGACCAATATTTTTTTTAAACCAATAGTTTTAGTGGCCCGAGTGGGCAAGTTGAAAGTACTTTATGCTGGCCAGGGTGTCTAAATAGTGCTTCCGGTTTTGGCGCGTTTCCACTGCAGGCCTCGCTCGGTTTGGTTAGGCCTTATTAAGCCCGGCTCACTTTAATGCTGCGTTTCCATTACAGTTTAGGAACTGGGGCAGTAACTATAGTAACGCAGTGTAGGCGGAGCCGTGACGTCATCTTCAATGAGCGCCCCAGAAAAACAACACAGCCGTTAGCTGTTAGCACTCAGAGCTCACAGCTCCTCATATCTGTTCAGAAACTAGACAGAAGTTAAACAAGTACAAACCACAGACTGCCTGTGTCATGGAGAATACAGTCGCTGGTTTATTTATGTCTGTATAGGCCGTTGTTGTGAGTGTGGACGGTCGGAGCATATATAACGTTAGCTTAGCCAAGCTCCATTTAGAAAACACACATTTTAAAAGGTGTTTCTCTGCCGTCTGTCTGCAGACTTGTCAAAGCATTAATTCATGGTTTTTACTAACCGGTATCAGTATGTTGTTACTTCGGCATCATTTTGAAACGTGTATTACAATTAAATCACGGTCAAATATGTTCATCTTGTTGTAGTTGTAGCTCCCTTGCCAGCGATTCTCTCTCTAGTTTAGCATACTCAGCCCGACTCAGCCTGGTTGTTCCTGGCCCTAGAACCACCATTTAGTCGGGCCAGAAAAAAGGTGAAAAAGTAGCCCCGGGCCAAAACTAGGCCAAGTGGAAACGCAACCAAAAACGGGCCCCGCACGGCTCGCTTAAAGCGAGCTACCCGCTGCAGTGGAAACGCGCCATAAATAGTGCTTCCGGGCCAGCGGGCCATTTATAATGTCGAGCCCTGTCATATGAAAAGCTGAGAGTCCACAGATTCTACTGGTATACGTTTCATCCCTGTGCGATCAAAACTCACTGTTCAATAAAAGAACATTTTACCTTGAAAATCAATGCATTCTAATAGCGGGTCAATTTGACCCGGTGGCGGTTTTAGGTATACAAAAAAAATCTACATTTTGAGGAAAAATCTACATTTTGATAAAAGAAATCAACAATTTGAGGAATAGGTCAGAATTTTGAGATTCTGAGGAAAGCTGTCATCACAGATTAAACATGTCTGACTGGAGGCTGCAGGTACCTTGGATTTTGGTGAACTTAGTGGAGTTGAGATACACTCTCTCAGAGTATTTCATGTTGTTAAGAAGAAGGACGTGTCTGACTGAAAGGTCTTTGCACTGCTTGTTGGCCTCGTCCCACATGGTGACGCTGATTTCCTCAGCTTCCTGAATCAGTTTGAACCTTTGCTGATTATTGTCCTTCCCTTTTTTGACGGGATCAATCTGAAAAAAACAGAGGAAGCCCAAAATGTAAGAACAAACTGCCTTTGTTTGATAAATATAATTGGTCCATTGGTTTATCTTTAGTTATCTGTCAATAAATAGGTTTCTAAGATCTTGAAAAGGCATTTAAAAATGTAAAAGACACATTTGTTGAATGCATTACTAACCTAACCAGGCTCCAGTGCATGAAGCAGGTCTGCAGTTTGAACTCACCTCGGTGACGGTTCCTTTGACGCTCACGTGTTTCTTGGGACGAGATGATTTGATGTCTTTAATGGAGGTAAGTGGACTCTCAGGATAAACCAGTCTCTCAGCTTCTCTCTCGAGCTCCTCCGGGACTTTTGAGATTTTGAAAACAAAATTCAACATTTTGAGAAAAAAGTTCCAAATTTGAGATAAAAAAAAAAAAATCATGATTTTTAGTTTTTTAGGAAAAAATCTACATTTTGAGGAAAAACTCAGAATATTGAGATTCTGAGGAAAGCTGTCATCACAGATTAAACATGTCTGACTGGAGGCTGCAGGTACCTTGGATTTTGGTGGACTTAGTGGAGTTGAGATACACTCTCTCAGAGTATTTCATGTTGTTAAGAAGAAGGACGTGTCCGACTGAAAGGTCTTTGCTCTGCTCGGTGGCCTCGTCCCACATGGTGACGCTGATTTCCTCAGCTTCCTGCCTCAGTTTGAAGCTTTGCTGATTTGTGTTCTTCCCTTTTTTGACGGGATAAATCTGAAAAAAACCAGAGAAAGCACAAAAATGATTTCTATTTCACAACATTTAAAACAAACTGCCTTTGTTTGATAAATATAATTGGTCCATTGGTTTATCTTTAGTTATCTGTCAATAAATAGGTTTCTAAGATCTTGAAAAGGCATTTAAAAATGTAAAAGACACATTTGTTGAATGCATTACCAACCTAACCAGGCTCCAGTGCATGAAGTAGGTCTGCAGTTTGAACTCACCTGGGTGACGGTTCCTTTGACGCTCACGTGTGTCTGGGGACGAGATGATTTGATGTCTTTAATGGAGGTAAGTGGACTCTCAGGACAAACCAGTCTCTCAGCTTCTCTCTCGAACTCCTCCGGGACGATGACAGGTTTTGAAAAGAAAAGAAAAGCCTCTCCATGAACGTAAATACAATAAATGTCTCAAAGCTGCAAGTGATAATTAAGAAATAAGATTTACCCATGGAGCTTTTCCATCCTGGGAGTCACGAGTCTTTGGTTTCTAACAGGGCAGGAAGAAATATGTTTACTTTATATCACACAAAGGTTTACAGCTGTTTCTCTTTAATGATGAATGTTGTGAGGTGCAAACGTGCTGCATCTTGCAGCAACATTCACATTCCACTGGGCTCACAGGGAGGGGGGGCAGGAGCTCCAACAAGCCGTGTAGAACAGAGAGTGAAAACACAGACTATACAGAGAGGCTGTGAGAAACCAATGTGAGTTTGGAACATTGAACAATGTGAATCTATTCTAGTAGAACTCAACGATGGAACTATGATCAGTAGAAATGGCCGTGACATGGGACCTTTAAGTATCCCGATAGTATGGTATCGTGGGGAGCCTGGTGATTCCCAGCCCTACTAAGTAGAGTGCTTGAGTCCATGAGTAAACCACCATTGGGGTCTCCTGTTGTACCTCTTGAATGCAGACCATTAGCAAACATAGTGGATCTGCCCATTGATTGTTAAATACTAAATACGGTGTTTTTCCGTTGTTGTGCAACAAAGACAAACCAGTCCGAGCCCATTTTCTACCTCTGGAGCCTGAGGGTTCAGGGCGAGTTTCAGCGTTGTGTCGATCATGATCTGGGTTTCACCACTGCCGCCGGAAACCTCTGAACAAACACGAGATAAAAAAAAACCCGTTAAAAATCTTCCTGGTCCATCTCGCTGAAAATGGTAAAATAATAATAATATATGATAAATAATATCTATTGTGTGTGTGTGTTGTGTGTGTGTGTGTGTGTGTGTGTGTGTGTGTGTGTGTGTGTGGTGTGTGTGTGTGTGTGTGTGTGTGTGTGTGTGTGTGTGGTGGTGTGTGGGTGTGTGCGTGTGTGTGTGTGTTTGTGTTTGTGTTTGTGTGCGTGTGTGTGTGTGTGTTTTGTGTGAGTGTGTGTGTGTTTGTGTGCGTGTGAGTGTGTGTGTGTTTGTGTGCGTGTGAGTGTGTGTGTGTGTGTGTGTGTGTGTGTGTGTGTGTGTGTGTGTGTGTGTGTTGTGTGAGTGTGTGTGTGTGTTTGTGTGAGTGTGTGCTTGTGTATGTGAGTGTGTGTGTTTGTGCGTGTGTGTGTTTGTGTGCGTGTGTGTGGGTGTGTTTGTGTGCGTGTGAGTGTGTGTGTGTTTGTGTGCGTGTGAGTGTGTGTGTGTTTGTGTGCGTGTGAGTGTGTTTGTGTGTGTGTGTGTGTTTGTGTGTGTGTGTGGTGTTTGTGTGTGTTTGTGTGAGTGTGTTGTGGTGTGTTAGTGTGAGGTGTTTGTTGGTGTGTGTCCGGTGAGTGTGTTTGTGTGCGTGTGTGTGTGGGTGTGTTTGTGTGCGTGTGAGTGTGTGTGTGTTTGTGTGCGTGTGAGTGTGTTTGTGTGTGTGTGAGTGTGTGTGTGTTTGTGTGCGTGTGAGTGTGTGTTTACCAGCTGCAGGTTTCTTCTTCCTGGGCACTGCTCCTGAGTCAGCTGGTTTGCTCGTTGCGGCTAAACAAATACATTTAAAAAAGTTTAACACACTGAAAATGAAAATGTTCTTTTTATGTTGTGGCTGAATCAACATGATAAGCCCACAATTAGTATTGTAGCGTCTCGCTGCGGGAAACACAACTTTGTCAGCGCTGTCATCTGCCCCCAGTCACGTGACTTTGTTTACAATCTGACAGCTGGAAGCAAAGGAAAGCCCTCCGGCCTCATATGGCTATGGTGATCACACCAAATGCCTGCCTGGCTTTGGTGGCGACTCCCCGGGTCAATCTGTCCCCGGAAATGTCCCCGTTTTTAAATATGCTTTAAAAACACAAAGCAAGGAGAAATAAAATTGGAACAAAGTTGATGTTTCAATGGCGTGGTGCTCGTTCGCAGCAATACAATTATTGTAGCCTTAGCTTTAGCATTTAGCGTTAGCAGCTTCATTCTTATTCTACTTCTTATTTTTCTCCTTTTTCTTCTCCTTCTTCTTATATGTAATTGCCCGCGAAATGTTGAATGAAGAACTCGTTTCAGTGTGAACTCATTCCACAGTATGACCACAAAAGTGTTTTAAACCAGGTACGTTTTTATTATGTATGTTCTATAGCGCTAAGTATGTGATTATTACACATTTTACGTATTATACTGTATTGGTGCCGGTGCGTTAAGACCACCTCTAGTGTCGGATTTTGGGAAATTGATTTTGAGTTTTCTCATGGCAGTATAGGGACAAACCAGGGGACTTTACTTCCTCTTGACACTGGCGGTTATTTACAAAAAAACACCTAAATATACTTGTTATTGTGCTTCTGTCTTTCTGTGTCTTACCATCTGCTCCGTAAACTCCCTCACCGCTTGCTCTCTTTTCTTGATCGCCCTCTCTCAGGAGAACACTTCACTGCCCCGCCTCATTGTAGGATTTCTGCCATGTCTCCACTTTAGTTTGACCATCTCTGTTATTAAGTTATGGAATACTAAATACATATGTAATTAGATACCTTACCGTTACTGCGCTCATAAAGAATGATAAGAATAAGAATAATGCGTATTGAACTGGTTTCATTAATTAGTGAGGTATCTAATTACTTATGTATTTTATCAGTATGTCTGCACAGCAGTTACAATGGTCAAACTACATTAAAACAGAATTGTCCCCATGTTGTCTTTAATAGTTTTAACATTACATATTTTAATGAGATACGGACCGCAAAACAAAAAATGTCCATGGTTTCAATTTAAAAAATCAAGTCACTGAATGCAAGTAGTCGCCTTAGCTTATTTTGTTATGAGATCATAATGTGAATTACTGTTAATGTTAATTTAGTTAATGTAATAATAGTTTGTTTTCCATTACATTAAAAACAAGTTAGAATTTTCAAAAGGTCTTTTTTCGGGGGGAGGCCCTTCTTCCAGTTTAGAGCAATAGCCCCTCCAAATGTCTGTGCACGTCCCTGGCCAACACCCCCAACTTTCCTCACTTACAGCGCCCATCGTACAGGGCAAATCAAAAGTGTAATCGTGGTGAAGGGTGTTATATTTACTTAATTATGAATATTGTTACATCAAGGCCGAAAATTTGGATGAGCCCCAACGGTCAAAAATGTTTTTTCCCCTCCGAGATCTGGCGCCCTAGGCCAGGGGTTCCCAAACTTTTCAGCCTGGCAACCCCTGTCAACGGGGGTGCTAGTGAATACATTAATAAATTAAAGTTCTACGCACTCTCACGGGAATATCTCCGCAATGGAGGGAGTTTAAGTTTCGATTGCATGATATAGCCCAGCGCAACACCTTCGCCACTTTTTTGTAACCATTTTCTGGCTATTTGTAATCTGTTCTAGAAAAACAATGTGTTTTTTAGGATTTCAAGAAGCATATAGAACAAACAATGGATGTCTTTTACGAACATTTATCCATGCTGGAAGTAGATTTATATGTTTTAGGAGTGAGATAGAGATTATTATCTAATGTATGCATCTGATGAAGCATTGCATGAAGTCTGTTGATGATCAGAGGCTGTTGTTAGGGCTGCGAAAATGTTTTTTTCTTTTTGTTTTGTAGGCAGACCATGCAGGCCAGCCCGATGGTCACCAAGGTTCATGTTTTAATAGCATTTTAATAAAAAAAAGCCCAAGCGAGCCTAACATGTGAAAATGGCTTAGACCTCAGAGAGTTAAACTTGGGCCTGCGACCAGAGTTTTACTGTATTTTGTTTTGAAAATCCACAGCGGAGGTTTGTGTCGTACTACATGCGGTGTATTTTCTATATCTCTCAGTAGCCAACGATCCGTGAGTCTGTTGGACATAAGCTCCGTAATAAATGTAGTCTACATTTCATAAGAGGTGTAAAACCTGAGCATTTTAAATCGCATTTTGAACGAAATGCTGATATAATCTGTAGATTTGTATTGTTGATTTATTGTGTGAACGAGGCGATATAGAGAAGGTTAAACTGTCATTATTAGGCTGTTAAACTGTTGGAGTGGGAAGCAGGCCTATAGTTTTTTGGATATTTGGGGAGTCAGGTGGTCCGTGAGTGTTTTTGTATTGGTTAAGTGTCCTTGGTATGAAAAGGTTTGAGAAACACTGCGCTAGTGGATTATCAACGAGGGGAGCCTCGCTGGGGGAAATTATACAGATGGTGTTACGGTGTGCAGGAAGCAGGACCCAAATGCAGATTTAAGTGACAAAAATAATTCCTTTATTTCAAGGCTACAATATACAAGACAGAACAGAACACTCACCGCAGACCAAGTCATGACACAAGACAACCCGACAAAGAGAGACAGAAAACCCAGAACTTAAATACACCCAGGACTAATCACATAAACACGAGACAGGTGAGGAGGGAGGAGAAAACACAGAGGCACCAGGTGAACACAATCGGGTAATCAGGGAGGGAAACAGACAAAAAGCAACAGGCAGGAAACGGGGGTGAACACTTTACAAAATAAAACAGGAAACCAAAGATAGAAAAAGACAAGACAAAACAACAACACAGACAGATCCTAACAGTACCCCCCCCTCAAGGGACGGATCCCAGACGTCCCACAAAAAAAAAAATCCAAAACCTCAAGCAGGGTGGATGGAGGGGGTCAGGAGGACGGGACTGAACTGACCGCCCAGGGGCACGGCAGAGGACCAGGAAGGAGTCTCGGGCGGACGGCCCGGGGGCAAGGCAGAGGACCAGGAAGGGGTCTCGGGCGGACGGCCCGGGGGCAAGGCAGAGGACCAGGAAGGGGTCTCGGACGGACGGCCCGGGGGCAAGGCAGAGGACCAGGAAGGGGTCTCGGACGGACGGCCCGGGGGCAAGGCAGAGGACCAGGAAGGGGTCTCGGGCGGACGGCCCGAGGGCAAGGCAGAGGACCAGGAAGGGGTCTCGGGCGGACGGCCCGGGGGCAAGGCAGAGTCCAAGGTGGGGACCATGGAGGGGCGAAGGCAGCGGCAGGAAGAGTCAGGGGGCCGGGCTCGAGGGCGAAGACCGCGGCTCTGAGGGGGCCGGGCTCGAGGGCGAAGACCGCGGCTCGAGGGGGGCCGGGCTCGAGGGCGAAGACTGGGCAGGAGCCGGTGTCGACCGGACAAGATCCGGAGCCGGTGGGACAGGTGTCGGTAAGATTCCCCACGGAAGAGGACCAGGAGTTGGCAGGACCCTCGGCAGGAGGGCAGTCGACGGGACCCCCAATGGGACAGGACACAGGATTGGCAGGACCCCTGGCAGGAGCGCAGTCGGCGGGACCTCCAACAGGACAGGACACAGGATTGGCAGGACCCCTGGCAGAAGCGCAGTTGGCGGGACCCCCAACGGGACAGGACATAGGATTGGCAGGACCCCCAGCAGGAGCGCAGTCGGCGGGACCTCCAACGGGACAGGACATAGGGTTGGCAGGACCCCCGGCAGGAGGGCAGTCGGCGGGACCCCCAACGGCACAGGACATGGGGTTGGCAGGACCCCCGGCAGAAGAGTAGTCTGCGGGACCTCCAACGGCACAGGACATGGGGTTGGCAGGACCCCCGGCAGAAGAGCAGTCTGCGGGACCTCCAACGGCACAGGACATGGGGTTGGTAGGACCCCCGGCAGGTGAGTAATCGACGGGGCCTCCAACGAGACAGGACAAAGGGTTGGCAGGACCCCCGGCAGGAGAGTAGACGGCGGGACCTCCAACGGGACAGGACAAAGGGTTGGCAGGACCCCCGGCAGGAGAGTAGATGGCGGAACCTCCAACGGGACAGGACAAAGGGTTGGCAGGACCCCCGGGAGGAGAGTAGTCGGCAGGGCCTCCAACGGGACAGGACAAATGGTTGGCAGGACCCCCGGCAGGAGAGTAGTCGGCGGGGCCTCCAACGGGACAGGACAAATGGTTGGCAGGACCCCCGGCAGGAGAGTAGACGGCGGGACCTCCAACGGGACAGGACAAAGGGTTGGCAGGACCCCCGGCAGGAGAGTAGACAGCGGAACCTCCAACGGGACAGGACAAAGGGTTGGCAGGACCCCCGGCAGGAGAGTAGTCGGCGGGGCCTCCAACGGGACAGGACAGAGGGTTGGCAGGACCCCCGGCAGGAGAGTAGTCGGCGGAGCCTCCAACGGCACAGGACAAATGGTTGGCAGGACCCCCGGCAGGAGAGTAGTCGGCGGGGCCTCCAACGGGACAGGACAAATGGTTGGCAGGACCCCCGGCAGGAGAGTAGACGGCGGGACCTCCAACGGGACAGGACAAAGGGTTGGCAGGACCCCCGGCAGGAGAGTAGACAGCGGAACCTCCAACGGGACAGGACAAAGGGTTGGCAGGACCCCCGGCAGGAGAGTAGTCGGCGGGGCCTCCAACGGGACAGGACAAAGGGTTGGCAGGACCCCCGGCAGGAGAGTAGTCGGCGGAGTCTCCAACGGCACAGGACAAAGGGTTGGCAGGACCCCCGGCAGGAGAGTAGTCGGCGGGACCTCCAACGGGACAGTACATGGATTGGTAGGACCCCCGACATTGGGTAGGGACTTGAGACGGGACTCGAGAGGGGACTCGAGAGGAGACTCGAGAGGAGACTCGAGAGGGGAACCAAGGGGGAACTCGAGAGGGGACTCGAGAGGGGACTCGAGAGGAGACTCGAGAGGAGAACTAGAGAGGGGACTCGAGAGGGGACTAGAGGAGAGACTAGAGGAGGGACTAGAGAAGGGAACTCGAGAGGGGACTCGCGAGGGGAACTAGAGAGGGGACTCGAGGAGGGACTAGAGAGGGGACTCGAGGAGGGACTAGAGCAGAGAGGAGGGACTAGAGGAGGGACTCGAGAGGGGACTCGAGAGGGGACTCGAGAGGGGACTCTGGTAGGGACTTGAGAGGTGACTAGAGAGGGGACTCGAGAAGGGACTCGAGAGGGGACCTCAGAGGGAACTGGAGAGGGGACTCGAGAAGGGATTTGAGAGGAGACTGGAGAGGGGACTCGAGGAGGGACTAGAGAGGGGACTAGAGGAGGGACTAGAGGAGGGACTAAGAGCAGGGACTAAAGGAGGGACTAGAGGAGGGACTAGAGGAGGGAACTCGAGAGGGAACTGGAGAGGGAACTGGAGAGGGGACTCGAGAGGGGACTTGAAAAGGAACTGGAGAGGGGACTCGAGAGGGGACTTGAGATGGGACTGTGGCAGCTGGGGCCAGAGCTGAGTCTGGAACCATGGCTGCCGGGGCCGGAATTGAAGCCAGAATCATGGCTGTAAGGTCCGGTTTTGCAGCCGGAAACATGGCTGTAAGGTCCGGTTCTGGAGCCGGAAACATGGCTGTAAGGTCCGGTTCTGGAGCCGGAAACATGGCTGTAAGGTCCGGTTCTGGAGCCGGAAACATGGCTGTAAGGTCCGGTTCTGGAGCCGGAAACATGGCTGTAAGGTCCGGTTCTGGAGCCGGAAACACCCATATTTTGGGTCGGGTTGTAATGTTACGGTGTGCAGGAAGCAGGACCCAAATGCAGATTTAAGTGACAAAAATAATTCCTTTATTTCAAGGCTACAATATACCCTAAGACAGAACGGAACACTCACCGCAGACCAAGTCATGACACAAGACAACCCGACAAAGAGAGACAGAAAACCCAGAACTTAAATACACCCAGGACTAATCAAACAAACACGAGACAGGTGAGGAGGGAGGAGAAAACACAGAGGCACCAGGTGAACACAATCGGGTAATCAGGGAGGGAAACAGACAGGCAGGAAACGGGGGTGAACACTTTACAAAATAAAACAGGAAACCAAAGATAGAAAAAGACAAGACAAAACAACAACACAGACAGATCCTAACAGATGGCCAGTCCGCCCCTGAAAAATGTCTATGTACACGTTATTATTAATAATAATTTTTAAAAAATGATAAAAAATATTATTTTTTTATTATTCCCACTTTGGGAACCCCTGCCCTAGGCGACCCCCTATGTCACCTATGCCAAAAACCGGCCCTGGCTGCAACACTGAATTTAATGAAAAATTCAATCGATCCAGGTCACTGCATTCTAGGCTGAAGTTTTCTCTTCTTTAACCTCACAGGTGTTATTGTTTTCCGTGCGCGCTTCAGCCAGCCAGTGGCGGTGTACCGCTGAAAGGGGTCTGACTGCAGACCCCTGCAGAATGCAGAGTAACATTAGTTCCGCCTATCGCACCAGTAAAGCCAATAGATCGTAATATTAAAAACTTTTATTTTGGAGAAAAAGCGCCCCTCACAGAAATCCTATTTATTCATCATGTGTTGAATCCGTTCTAAAGTCCTCCATGTGTCCAGGAAAACTTTAAAAATAACGGTAATTGATTTAAGGACGAATTGATTTTCACCTCATCACTCAGTTACTTAACGGCTTTCATATAAATGTACTAGTTGTGTAGGCTACTGGTCATGCTTGAATTTATTTACCTAAGACATAATAGTAAATAGATTTTAGTTTTAAACGTAGTTTATTAACACTTTTATGCAGTGTTTTCCAGTGAAAAATAATAACTTGAGAAATCGTATGTGCCCCCCCCCCCCCCAACCCCCCGTTACCAACACATGGACCAACCAGCGATCATCATTCTTTGGGTATAAAGACAGATTTATTCTGCAACCAAAATCTGTGACAATATAAAATACAATTATTCAAAGTGATGATTAGAAAAATAGAGAGATTAAGAATAATAAAAAAGATAGAATGCATTTTAAGAAACCCCCCCCCCCCACCTGAGTTTTGATGTGGAGTCAACACAAGACCCTTCCTCAGGGTGTGCCAAATTGCGGGGGCATCTGCTTTACTGGACCACGTCTCAAAACACCTTCTTTCCCGGCTACTTCATAGTTCACGCGGCGGAGTATGACTTCAATTTCTTCATTCCTAAAAAGATATGAGGGGTAGAAAAACATGTTATCACATGATGGTCACATTAAGTCAAGGGTAACATATACATGTTAACGATTTCATCAACAGATTTAGATCTACAAAATCTTTGGGATATTTCAATAACTATATAACTAATGTTGAGTCTGACATTTACCTCTGACAGCCCTCTTTTAGCTGCTCACAGACAGATTGGATGAACCAGCTCCCCTTCGTTGGGTCTCTAACAGAAATATATTCTTCAACAGTGGAACTATGAACTAGAATATCTGCTTCCTGAGGGATGGATGTCGAGTGAGAGTCATCAGCCGGCTGTGTCGAGTGAGAGTCATCAGCCTGCAGATCGTCTGATAACACCCCAGGATGTATCTGCCGCCCCTGGCAGGCTTGGATCAGGAACACTTTGGGCTTGGCAGTGAGGGGAGATTGAGGAGTTGCTATGAAGGTTCTCGTTATTTGTTTGATACGGAGGGACTGCCCATCAGTCCCCGATACGCCGCCCTTGTTTCCGTGACTAAGAACACAGCAGATGAAGGCATCGCCATGCTGAGGAGCCTCTAGAAGATCGGTGAATTCGCTGCGAGTCCACTCCTGGACATTGAACTCCTGCAGCTGAGAAAGGTCGCACTGGGAAGCAAAGCATTTCAGCACTCGCTCCATCTGGTTCTTGGTTTGGTCTTTACACATCAGCACTCTGAACCCCAGCCAGCTGAACACCTCTGCCAAGCTTCCTGCAGTGAAATAAAACCTAGTTAGGCTTCAACAGGCAACACCGGGATGATCATATGAATCTGTCAACTCTGTAACATACCAGCATCTTTATCGGTTCCACGTCTCACGTCACCACCACTAAAATGTTTGTTGTTTATGATCAGGCAGAGGCCGGTGGGCTGGCTGTTCAACTCGTACTGCCCGTCCTGAAAACAACAGAAACAATTTCCCACAAACACAAAATGATGAAACTAGAATGGATTAGGGCGGGGCTATGTGGACACAATCTAATATATTTACCTACATTAAAGGTAGGTAGGTAAGAATGGAGAAAGCAGCTCGAGTGCGCTACAATTTGAAAGTACGCAGCCGAAAAAATCTGCCTCTTCCTTCAGAGTTCCTCACAGAGCCCCTCCTCCAACACACACGACCAATGAGGGCACGAGATAAGTTTGTGCACAGATGGAAGGCTGACAGGCAGGTAGGCCATCCAGTTACTTTAGCCGGCTCAGATGATTGGTCGTGCTTTTTACAGCGCCACGGCTTCCACAGATGATGTGTTTTTATGTATTCATTGTCAAAGCATTTAATGTATTCATTGCTATCGGGATGTTTAGAGCATTCCATGGAATATAACAAGTGTTTCTGAAGTGAATTACATACCCTACCTTTAAGGTTTTTGATGAATAATAATAGCTATGTGGATATAATTGCTAAATAAGGCTGCAGATAATTACATATATTAATAAATAGTCCAAAAGTGGATGCAAGTACTCAAAAACAAACAAACTCCTTTGAGTTTACTCGCTTGCCACTCAAAAGTCCTCCCACTCAAAAGATGGAAGCAATGTTCAAGACGGTCACCAATGATGGAAATGTCATTGTTTTGCCATTAAATCACTTTCACTTGCTCAATAATTGATCTTGGTGTAAAATCATACATTTAATAACAACGTAGAAACAAAATGCAGACGTCAGGAATCACTCAGAAGTTGTCTCTGAGCCATAACATTTATCCGCCAAGAGAAAACTGGGTAGCCAACATGCAATGCAGCTGTAGGTGGTGGAGGTATTTTGGGCTGTAGAAGTGTAGTACTGTAGAGGTACACTGGATACATCATGGTGTTCAGTGTTGGTAGCTTGCTAACATAGAAGACTCTTAGTATAAGTGTGGTTTAGTTTCCCAGATGCTTTCTAATAAGCCCCACATTGTAACATTCTGTGTTTAAAAGGACCGAACATCGCTCTGAAATGTTTTCTAAATAGTGAATTTGGCTGTAACTCAAAACCAAAATCACAGAATTTGAGCGAGTGGTGAAAATGTTAAAATACTGGGTGTTTCTCAATGTCGAGGACGCTTCCTTGGTAGGACATGTCCCTCCGAGTCAGGTCCTTCAGAAGCGAGGCAAGAATCCTTCCTAGCCACGGAAAACTAAGAATGGTGGAACAGGCTAACAGGCTAACAGGTGTGCGTCCTATGAGAGGCCCCGCCTTGAATGGAGCGTAATTTCCGCCTAAGATTTGGAAATTGGTCCGTGCGCAAAGCATTGTGGGGATTTTAAGACCGCGGAGGATACACATGAGCATCCTCGAACATTTTCGGCGAGACTCGATGACATAGCATCCTTGAAATAGTGGCTCTGGAGCATCCTTCTTCGACATTGAGAAACACCCTCTGTTTACTTGGATGGAAATGACGGCCATCTTGGAAATTGGTCGCATTCTTTTCAAAATGTAAGTGGCCAACGGATTATTTGTTGAATACATTTCCCCAGAGGGATGAAAAATAACATGTTGGTGCTTGAATCAACTTATGAAAGATGTTTACATCTATATGCAGCACTATGAGACAAATAATAGAACAGAAAGAAACATGTATGTAAATTCAGAAATTAACATGGAAATGACACTTACACAGAATTACCATGTCAGAAATGTAAGAAGATATCTAGTCCCATTTTAACTTTACTTTTTACCTTTACTATTCTCATTCTGCAAGTGATAAATAAGAAATAAGATTTACCCATGGAGCTTTTCCATCCTGGGAGTCACGAGTCTTCGGTTTCTAACAGGGCAGGAAGAAATATGTTTACTTTATATCACACAAAGGTTTACGGCCGTGACTCTTTAATGATGAATGTTGTGAGTTGGGTAACTGCGGTGGCCGACAGGTGCCACAACGTCTCAAGCCTCTTCCTCTCCAACTCTTACCTTGACAGGTTGGCTTCCCTCCAGCTGATCTTTAACAGGAGAAACAAACATCACTCAGGGTCTCGTGATCAATCAGACTTTCAGCTTAAAATACGTCTCGTTAAGACAACCAGCCCACCTAACAGAACTGAACCTAATGTTTTAAACAACGGACGATGCACTTGATGTGATTGGCCCCAATCTACCAACACTTCACCTACCTGCTGCAGGACTGGTTCCTTCCTCCGGCTCCTTCTTACGTCTCCTCTTCTTCTCTGGAACATTTAAAACATGATTTACTCAGCAGAACATGATTGTTCTACACCTATGTTTATTATGTAGCAGCTCATAGAGTCCTGTTGTGAACCCGGACATGTTGAGACCCCAAAGTCTTATGTTAGAAATGTAGAGTAGGGTCCACATACAAACTGCCGGATGCTAACCTGTAGAAGTTGCACAATTAGCACAAGTTGCATTTACTAGCATATGCAGACAATATCTAAAAAATGGCAGATTACAAATACGTCAGATTGTAACCAGAAAGCGGCCATATCTCTGGACTGATTCTGATACAGGTTTGCTCCATTTGGAAGATGTGTTGGACTCTGGATCATTTGGATTGGTTGACAGTAGAGTTAATCATGTTCATCTTGTGCTCTCTATATCCAATCCAAAGTCACAACATCATGGTAGTAGCTTTTTTAAGAACTTGGCTTTGAAACACATCTTTGAAGTATAATCCCACACTTGAGTAAAGTGTTATTGAGCATGCTTAACTGAACATAGGCGTGGGATGATTTCTGTTAGTGGATTTCCTCACCATGCTGCTGTTTCTCCAGTTTGCTCCTCACTTTCTGAACGTAGGGTTTCAGCAGATGCTGAACTAAAGATTTTCTCTTCGGTATCTCTTCCATCACTCTCTCCATCTCGAGGATCGACTTTTCTTTCCCGTAGAACTCAATGATCGTCCCAGGCATCTCTTCTCTGGACAGGCCGTCCTTCAGAACCTGAAGGAAACCCCTCAAACATTCCTTCATTTTTATGAACTGTGCTGAAGACAGATCCTCCAGGATGATGGTCAGATCTCTCTTCCAATCTTCCTCTGAGATTTCCGACATCTGAAACACCAGAGAAAGGAAACGGTTTGTGCTGGTTTTCTGCAGCTCCACTCCGAGATGTTAACGGATATTCTGGCCTTCAACAAATGTCCTGCGATTTGGATATTGTTGTGTATATGTTAAGTCAAAGGTAAAGTAAGTCCCAACACATTGAACCACTTTCAATGCAAAGATAAGAAGATAACCACACAACCAATATCTGTATAAAAGAAAATCAAAAAGGTAAATATTGGAATCTCCCTCAAAATCCATCTCAAAAAGTAAGAAAGTCGGTTTTGTTTTCTCAGAATATTGAATTAACAAACAGTAACTAAGTACATTTACTCAAGTACTGTACTTAAGTACTGTGTACTGTGTAAGGATGCCGCCTGGTAACGATGGTAAGGATGCCACCTTGTAAGGATGCCACCTGGTAAGAATGCCACCTGGTAAGAAAGCCACCTGGTAAGGATGCCACGTGGGAGTCTCTAGGTGTTCCAGCGCGTCCAGCTGGGAGGAGACCGAGGGAAAGACCTAGGACCAGGTGGAGGGATTATATCTCTACCTAGGACCAGGTGGAGGGATTATATCTCTTCCCAGGACCAGGTGGAGGGATTATATCTCTACATAGGACCAGGTGGAGGGATAATATCTCTACCCAGGACCAGGTGAAGGGATTATATCTCTACCTAGGACCAGGTGGAGGGATTATATCTCTACCCAGGACCAGGTGGAGGGATTATATCTCTACCTAGGACCAGGTGGAGGGATTATATCTCTTCCCAGGACCAGGTGGAGGGATTATATCCTTCTACATAGGACCAGGTGGAGGGATTAATATCTCTACCCAGGACCAGGTGAAGGGATTATATCTCTACCTAGGACCAGGTGGAGGGATTATATCTCTACCAAGGACCAGGTGGAGGGATTATATCTCTACCTAGGACCAGGTGGAGGGATTATATCTCTACCTAGGACCAGGTGGAGGGATTATATCTCTACATAGGACCAGGTGGAGGGATTATATCTCTACCTAGGACCAGGTGGAGGGATTTATATCTCTACTAGGACCAGGTGATAGGGATTTAATCTCTTACCCTAGGACCAGGTGGAGGGATTATATCTTACAAGGACCAGGTGGAGGGATTATATCTCTATCTAGGACCAGGTGGAGGGATTATATCTCTACCCCGGACCAAGTGGAGGGATTATATCTCTACATAGGACCAGGTGGAGGGATAATATCTCTACCCAGGACCAGGTGAAGGGATTATATCTCTACCTAGGACCAGGTGGAGGGATTATATCTCTACCCAGGACCAGGTGGAGGGATTATATCTCTACCTAGGACCAGGTGGAGGGATTATATCTCTTCCCAGGACCAGGTGGAGGGATTATATCTCTACATAGGACCAGGTGGAGGGATAATATCTCTACCCAGGACCAGGTGAAGGGATTATATCTCTACCTAGGACCAGGTGGAGGGATTATATCTCTACCCAGGACCAGGTGGAGGGATTATATCTCTACCTAGGACCAGGTGGAGGGATTATATCTCTACCTAGGACCAGGTGGAGGGATTATATCTCTACATAGGACCAGGTGGAGGGATTATATCTCTACCTAGGACCAGGTGGAGGGATTATATCTCTACCTAGGACCAGGTGAAGGGATTATATCTCTACCTAGGACCAGGTGGAGGGATTATATCTCTACCAAGGACCAGGTGGAGGGATTATATCTCTATCTAGGACCAGGTGGAGGGATTATATCTCTACCCCGGACCAAGTGGAGGGATTATATCTCTACATAGGACCAGGTGGAGGGATTATATCTCTACCCAGGACCAGGTGGAGGGATTATATCTTTACCTAGGACTAGGTGGAGGGATTATATCTCTTCCCAGGACCAGGTGGAGGGATTATATCTCTACATAGGACCAGGTGGAGGGATTATATCTCTACATAGGACCAGGTGGAGGGATTATATCTCTACCTAGGACCAGGTGGAGGGATTATATCTCTACCTAGGACCAGGTGGAGGGATTATATCTCTACCCAGGACTAGGTGGAGGGATTATATCTCTACCCAGGACTAGGTGGAGGGATTATATCTCTACCAAGGACCAGGTGGAGGGATTATATCTCTACCCAGGACCAGGTGAAGGGATTATATCTCTACCTAGGACCAGGTGGAGGGATTATATCTCTACCCAGGACTAGGTGGAGGGATTATATCTCTACCCAGGACCAGGTGGAGGGATTATATCTCTACATAGGACCAGGTGGAGGGATTATATCTCTACCTAGGACCAGGTGGAGGGATTATATCTCTACCAAGGACCAGGTGGAGGGATTATATCTCTACATAGGACCAGGTGGAGGGATTATATCTCTACCCAGGACCAGGTGAAGGGATTATATATCTACCTAGGACCAGGTGGAGGGATTATATCTCTACCTAGGACCAGGTGGAGGGATATATCTCTACCCAGGACCAGGTGAAGGGATTATATCTCTACCTAGGACCAGGTGGAGGGATTATATCTCTACCTAGGACCAGGTGAAGGGATTATATCTCTACCTAGGACCAGGTGGAGGGATTATATCTCTACCTAGGACCAGGTGAAGGGATTATATCTCTACCTAGGACCAGGTGAAGGGATTATATCTCTACCCAGGACCAGGTGAAGGGATTATATCTCTACCTAGGACCAGGTGGAGGGATTATATCTCTACATAGGACCAGGTGGAGGGATTATATCTCTACCCAGGACCAGGTGAAGGGATTATATCTCTACCTAGGACCAGGTGGAGGGATTATATCTCTACCTAGGACCAGGTGGAGGGATTATATCTCTACCTAGGACCAGGTGGAGGGATTATATCTCTACCCAGGACCAGGTGAAGGGATTATATCTCTACATAGGACCAGGTGGAGGGATTATATCTCTACCTAGGACCAGGTGGAGGGATTATATCTCTACATAGGACCAGGTGGAGGGATTATATCTCTACATAGGACCAGGTGGAGGGATTATATCTCTACCTAGGACCAGGTGGAGGGATTATATCTCTACATAGGACCAGGTGGAGGGATTATATCTCTACATAGGACCAGGTGGAGGGATTATATCTCTACATAGGACCAGGTGAAGGGATTATATCTTTACCTAGGACCAGGTGGAGGGATTATATCTCTACCTAGGACCAGGTGGAGGGATTATATCTCTACATAGGACCAGGTGGAGGGATTATATCTCTACATAGGACCAGGTGGAGGGATTATATATCTACCTAGGACCAGGTGGAGGGATTATATCTCTACATAGGACCAGGTGGAGGGATTATATCTACCTAGGACCAGGTGGAGGGATTATATCTACCCAGGACCAGGTGGAGGGATTATATCTCTACCTAGGACCATGTGGAGGGATTATATCTCTACATAGGACCAGGTGGAGGGATTATATCTCTACCTAGGACCATGTGGAGGGATTATATCTCTACATAGGACCATGTGGAGGGATTATATCTCTACATAGGACCAGGTGGAGGGATTATATCTCTACTCTGGCCTGGGAGCACCTTGAATGCCCAAATCAGAGCTGGTTGATGTGGGTGGGGAAAGGGAGATTTGGGGCCCTGAGTTTTTCATTTTGAAGTTAAATGCATTAATCTGGTGCACTTTGAGGGAAAAATTAAGGATTATGGATACAGATCTATGGATACATCTCTCAACAACACCCATGTGAGACAGAAATGTCAACAGATATACTTTTTTCTTTATGCATATTTTACTAATCACTCCCCCATTAAATGGTATTCTTGTTATACTGTCCTAAAGTATGAATTGGA